GGTTTCTAAAGGGAATTAGTATAGCAAAACACATTCCACAAGAAGCCAGAAATCATGCAAGTAAGGCCATCTTCATAGCCTGACCCTAATCTTATCTACTGGAAAGATAACCAAGGGTTATAGTTTAGGTTTATAAGCCTTTATATAGCATTTCAAAATCCAGCAGGGTTTTGTTTTTATCACTTAACTCCTCCATCTGCAGGTAGAAGCTATTGTTTTTGGCTAGTCCATATATTGCTTTGCAGATTAGGACATAGGCTACTTGAAGGATACCCTTTTCTTTTAATTGGGTATCCATTTTGGCTATTTCTGGGGCATGATGCCCTGGAATATCACTCTGTGACTGTATAACTGTCATATTCAGAACTTGTAGATAAAGGCCACTGCTGTCCTTTGGGGTGAGTTCCTTGGCCAGAGATGGAGCAGTGCTGGAGGATGTACTAATCTTTATGGAGTTGCAGATTTTACGATCCCAAGCTGCAGTTTAGAGCTAGACTTCTTCAACAGAATACGTGAAAGAGGAGAGCAAGCCAAAAATGTGCATAAGAACCATCACTAGAGACCAGTATGTAACATTTTTGCAACTATATGTCCAGCTTCTGGGCTCCTGGAACAAACTTCTGTCAGCAAGGATTTTAAGTCTGCTTTATGGAGACTGATTCTAAAACTAAAATGATTTATACTAAGGGAATAAAGATGTGTAAGCCTTTGCTAAAAATCAAAGCAGAATGTCAGACATTTCAGGAGCTACATAGGAACACCCCATATAGCAGCATACACTCCATACAAGCATTTTGTCAGATGCATGTGTAGGTGATAAAAGAACACAATTTGAAATAACTGGAGGAGGAGTTGAGAATGGTTGAGAAGTTGTCTTGGGGAAGACACACCTAGCAATGCTTTTGTTTAGGTAGTGTTTCTCTGAAGGTGAGGACCTTGTTAGGCTTAGCAACACTTTTAAAAGTACATATTCGAGCTGTTAATATCATAGCAGCAAGCCCTTCAAGGAATTTTTTTTATTTATGTACTTAAACACATATTCACCTGATTAATTCCAAATTTGTATTGAGGAAGAATTAAGCCACTGCAATTCAGGACTCTTCACAATGGTGCGTCTTTTTCTAGCTTAAAAATAATGATGGACCAGATATCCCTTTCCTAATTTGTGGAGTTTTTTTATTTTTCTATGTCATAGAAGCACTGAGATGAGCATTAAAGAAGTAGGTAGCTTGGATAAAGAATATTTCTAGTTCTCGTCTTTGTGCTTTTCATGGATGCAGATTATATCTATCCCAAAAAACACAGGACTGACTTTGGGTATGCGCGAGTCAGCATAAATAAAACCAAAGTTGCACCTATCCATCTGAATACATAGTTTATTTCTGTATTTTATATTCCATTTTGTGGTTATTTTGCATGCACACATACAGTACTTGTGTAGAGAATTCTGAAGTGGCATTTGCTAACAGAATTTACTTGTTAAGGGACAAATTTTCTGGAATTGTTTAAGTACCAGAAAATAACGAAGGTCACCTACTGGCATTTTCCAAAACCTCTAAGCAAGAAACTGGAATCTGTGAGAATGAGGACTGAGACCTTAAGAGACTTTGTTGAACTTTCCTAAACTTGTCTGTCCTTGCGCATTTGAACCTTCAGCCCTGCAACTGAGTTGCCCACCATATCTTTCTTCTGTCTGACTTAAAACACCAGCTGAAATACTTTCTTCTTGAATGACTTATTTGGTTGCTTCGTGAAATGCAAATTCAGTGACTGTCTTACATCTCAGGAGAAGATAGTGTCGTATTGCACATTTAATTTGTACTATGAGGACTGTTTCCTTCACAAGCAAAAAGACAAAGGTCATTTGTTAAATCTGTGTCTCAGTATACAGTCAAACATAGTCAGTATTGCTTTCAGTTAAGTAAAATACAGTGAGATTATAGTGGCAGATACATCATGATTGCACAAAGTAATAAAAGTTGCTTTCTCCAGGTCAGTGTCTTCCAGATTTTGAATAAAACTCTGCAAACACTGAGACTTTTATGGTAGTTCCCAACACCTCCCATTCATCTGTTTAGATATTTAAATTAACTTTGGTCTTGAAGTAGAAGACTATTCCTTCAGTTTACCACAGATTAAAATGCTCAAGCTCCAAAAGCAGCTGCCTGGAGCGTCCCACCGGGCTGGGTACAGAGCCTTATCGACAAGGGGCAATCCTGCCACCCTCACCCCTTGCAGGTAGTACCTCATTAACACAATCAGCCTTGTTAGCTGCCTTTTATTACTCACAAAGGAAAATGTTGCTTAGTGTGAGTCGGGATGGCAGAGTTGGGCCCTTGGTGAACAAAGAGTCCAGGATTATCGTTCCGAAAAGCCCCCTGAGGCCTGTATCAAGAGTTATTAACCACTGATTCAGCCCATAGCTTTATTTTGCAGGCTTAAGTGGGATTTCAGTGGTATATTGGGTCTTGTGTCTGTGTAGGGGTGAATTTTGCCCTCTGTTATTTTATCTTATAAATAGCTGTTACAGTTTCTCTTTTACATTATTGTTTAAATCTCTTTCAAAGGTATGATTTCTTAATCCCCTGCTGCTTTTTTTTTTCTTTCTTCTAATAAAGAGTAAATAAATTTGCAAATCCACACATGACTGAAACAAAAGGCAAATAAGCCCTGCACGGTTTGTGTTTGGTGCGGGATACCTCATTTTGATGATTTCAGTCATCATTCGTTTGAAAAGCAGAAGCTATGATTGTTAAGCCTCATTATTTTCAATGAAGCCTGACAGTTTCAAGGTTAAACAGAAGACAGCTACTTTCATCCCAGTGGTATTTCTCTTCAAACATGGGCAGCTCTTCGCTAACTTGTCTGCTCTGGTGTGCAGTGTCATTGCTTGGTCACAGAGTGGTGCACATCTAAGCCCAGTTGCAGGACAGTGTGTAAGCACTGACCTCCAACCAGTGTCTCCCCAGATGAAACCTCAGTTGTTGAAGTCATTTTTCCCCCGCTTGCATAAGCCACTCAGTGTTTCTTTTTATCTGAGCAGTGATTTACATAAACCGTGATCTCAGATTTTAATTTTTTTCTGCTGTCGCCCAGAAAACAATTTGCAGCCCAAACCTTGTTTGTCCTGACAATTGGAAACGTTTCTCCTGTGCTTAATGCCTCTGAAGCGCACTAGAGATGGTGCTAATGTGAGAGAGAGAGAGAGAGAGACCTCCCGTGATAGTTAAAGTGGCTGAGAAAACTGCAATGCTTCTGAACATACGCGCTGTTAAAAGTGGGGACTGACCTGCCATTGCCTTCTGAAATTGTTCATGGACTAACAACTGATTTAACAAGGAAAGTTCTCAGTAAGAGAGGCTGAGGAAGCAATGACCTATCAGTAACTGAGTTAAAACCCTTAGAACGCAGAAAACATTGGTTTATTCACTGTGAAAAAACAAACAAATAACTTGTGAAAGCCCTGACTTCATACTTGCACATACTACCTCCATAAAGATGAAGTACAGTAGACACATGTTACAAAGCAAAAAAAAAAAAAAACAACCACTAGTTGGTTAAAAAGGAAAAATGATACATGAAAAACTGTAGAGGGGGGAGTAGAAATACAGTAGTTTTTCACCTGTGCTTTCACTCGTTTAGAGTCCCTGTGAAACATCTAGAACCAGCTGAACTTTCCACATACATTTCCTGGTGTCTGCTAATTACATTAGGGTGGTGAATTCTTAATCTCGTTTCAGGAATTAAGTCACCTGGTGAGTACAATGAAAGGTGTAACTTCATGGTGCTTGGTGGTTCCTGGAAAACAAGAGTGTTTCAATACGTACCATGTGCGTTAGTCATGACTTGTGGCAATAAATCCAAGATGTGTTAACTAGTTTTCCTGCACTGAAATTACTAATGCATCCATGAGATAAAATGAATTTTGCAGTTTTGATAAAGCTGTGTTATTTTTATTTCCTGTCTGCATTCCTGATGCTGTATAATATATTAAAAAAAAACCAACCCTTTTCAGATAAGACAAAATGGTCAACTTTGCAACAGTGAATACAGCTATTTGAACCTGCAACTCTTTTTATTAATTATAGAAGCTGTGTGTATAATATGCTGGACATGGTCCTAAAAGTGTTCTACTAAGCACAGTGTCTGCTTTTATATAGCTAGTTTATTTGTGGGAGAGCATTCATTGAAGGATTCCATAAAATATAGAAAAAATTGAAGAAATAGTTTCAATTCATGATTACTAGAGTGCTGAAGATAAATCTGTGCAAATGGAAAACCCTGAACACTTTGCATTTGTCTATCTACTTTAACAGAAGAGAACAAATTTAGCCAGTGAGATTCTGGGCATGCTTATAACCTGTGCCATAAAACTAAGAGAGGATTAGGCAGCTCTCTGTCCTACTTATTTAGACTGTTATTTTTTCTGTAATTGTGTTGCTGCAATAATCATACAGGCCACCTTCAAGATATCATCATCCACATCCTCAGAAATTTGTTTTGTTGAGTATTTTGAAAAAGTTTTTGACATAAAATACGTGGTGATTTAGGTATAAATTTATAAACTGGTCAATAAAAGGGTGTTTTTAAGGGGAAACAACAGCTAAGTGTTACATTTAACAAGAGCTGTGGACCACTCATATTTTTTAAAGTGCAAGGATTGAATGTGCTACTTACACTGAAGTGTGTATGTGCCACAGAATTGCTGCACAGGGTTTTGTGTTAATGCCTTACGGGGACCTCAGATACTACAAAAGCAAAGTGCGTTGATATGTATCACTGGCTGCAAATGGATTGCGTTGTAGGTTAAAAACTTTTCCGTAAGTTGTCTGCATTTTCCCTTAATGTCTGTCTTTTACAGTAGTGCTTTGTTTCTGAGCGTGACCACCACCAGGACAGCTTGGTTCAGTGCAAACACTGTCTCTTTCAGCCAGAACATTCCTAACGTTAGCTTCCTTTTTTTTTTTTCTCTCCTCTCCCTCTCCCCTGCCCCCTCTCAGGTTGGAAAGACTGGTGGACGTCCTGAGGAAGAAGGTTGGAGCAGGGACCATTAGGACCGTGATCTGATTGAAAGCTCTAGTCTAAGGAAGCATTCACATCTGGTGACCAGGCTGCTTCATTCAGCACTGTGTAAACACTAAAGCCTTAACTTAGCAAACAGTTGTTAGAAGTGGGACACTCCAGCGACATTCCAAGCTGAGATAAAATCAAATCATAAATGTTTAACTACTTTGCTGCTGAGTTCTGTGATTTGTTGAAATGTTTCACTGCAAACATATATTTGTTTTTAAGCAGATGCATTGTGGCACTGTGTACTGTGAAAAATGATGTAAATGCTTATTTTAACAGTCTGTCCTCTCGATGTTTCTAGACTATAGTCTGCTGCAAGGCACAGCTTGATCATGTTTTCAAATACTGCAGGCTTCAGGTGCAAAATCCTGCAAAGCAGTTTCAAAATTTAAATCCCTTTTGTTATTTGTGAGACTGCAAACAGCCCGGTATTTGTATGTTAAATATATTAATTGATAAAGTAGGTTCACAGTCAAGAAATATCTCTGGCTAGTATACTGAAGATTTTTTCCTCGTTACTCATAGCCCATTGAATTGCAGCTAGTGACTGTGGCTACATCTAAGCCACATGTATACATGTATAGCTTTATACAATGGTTGAATAGCTACTGCTGGTACATGACATTTTCAGCTTAGCTTAAAAAGAAATGTACAGTTAGGTTTCACTAGAGGTACAGCTTCATAAATTGCAACATGAAAGCCTTGTGACATTGTACAGTATCTCAGACAGTGGGGAAGGTTTCCTGTATTGTTTTTAGTCACTCTTTTCTCATTTCCAGTGAGGGAAAATCACTCAAATATTCAGAAACCACCCTATAGATTCACCTTTTCAGTGTAAGGTGGGTCCATCAACCCTTTCTTACAAGACTTTTTACCTGCTCCTTCTAGACCTCTGATTGCTCTGCAGTGCAGGAGTACCATCCAGGTTGGGTTGAGGCCAGACTGCCACCTCTCTGCTTTGTGTACTCCTGAAGTGCCCTGGGACTGAACTCAAGGGCTGAAGGATAGACTCCTACAGGGAGGGGAGAAACTGAGGGCTGAGGAGGAAAATTTGGGGTACACAGGCATTATAGACCTTTTTTCCATGTCTCTTGCAATTTTACGTATTTGGCATCCTTCCCCCACCATCTTTTTTCCAGAGAGAACCCCTAGTCTCTTGTAAAGAAGTTGTCTTGTGTTTTTAATTGGCCTTGTCATGCTAATCTATTTCTTTTCCAGCTCTGCTGTGTTTTTACTGAGATACAACCAGATTTGTGCCTGGTATTCAAGGTACAGACAAATTGTGACTTTAACAGTTGTCATAATGATGTTGTCTCTTTTATTCTCTATGCTATTTGTAATCATGTTTAGCATTGGATTTGCTTTATGACAGATGATTTCTTGGAATTAATATTTCTATAATAATACTAACAATTCTAGATCTCATTCCTCAGTTACAATATTCAGCTCAAAGTTCATTGTATGGTGTATGGAGACAGAACTGTTTTCTGAATGCGTAACTTTGCATTTATGGGTCATTTGCTGTTTTTGTGTGCGTTCCCTGGTGACCATGAGCTCCTATTCCATCTCTTCTCACTATTCATCTTTACTACTCAGGGTAGCATAGTATCATTGGTATCTCCATGCTGAATGTGGTGATATGAAATAGCATTATCTCCAAATTAACCCCCTTTCCAAGGTGATTTAGTTAAATTGAACAACAGGGGCTCTGGGGTAAAGACATCTGTAGGACAATAAGGTAACTTTCCTTCACTGTGAAAATGATACATTTATTCTTACCCATTGTTTTAATCTAACTTTTAACTACTTATTTTTCTATGTAGAGATCTTCCCTCTTACTCCTTGGCAGCTTTGATGAGGAAACTTGTTTGCTACTTTGAAAATGCAAGTTTACTAAATCAGGGCTTGTTTTCCATGCGTGAATGGGCTAAGTTCCTCTTTCCCCTAGGAGTATCGAGAAGTCCTCACCTTGCCCCAAATCTTTCCACCTCTGAGCAAATAATCTTGTAAGTGCAGGCTTCATACAGCAAGACTGTTTGACCTCCATCCTCTTGTGTCAGCTGGCTTTTTTTAGGAAAGTAAGATTGCTCTGGCAAAAGCAATCTAGTGGGCTTAATGTCAGATATATCTGATTGTGGGTAATACTTGATTCAGTAAAATTAGGTGATGATTTTGCTTCATAATTTTCCTTTTGACACATTGTACCTAAGTGAAAAAATATTTTCTGACTCTGTCTTATGTCTTGTACCAAACAGCCTGAAATTCAGTGAGCTTTTTAGTTAGGAGCTTTTAACATGCTGTAGATAAATTGCTTTGAATCATAATTAAAATAGGTGTTGATTTTTAAAATTCAGCTAGAAATGTTTGTCTTCTTTGAGAGGGACCTTGGGAAATTTACTGTGCTGAGAGGTGACGATTTGGAAACGGTTGGGTTCTCGCTCTTCCTTGCGAACAACCTGGTGTGTGGTCTTTGGCAAATCCCTTAGTGACGGCCATAAAAGGTATGCAGCCCCTGAAGAGGTGCCTGGGCTCCTCGGGGGAGTTTGCAAAAGCATCTGTGTGGCTAACGTCAAAACGCTGTCGCTTCTTCACCAGTTGAAGTAAACAGCAAAAGCCACATAGGTCCAGTAGTGGCCTTTAGTGGCCCTTGGGTGAATTTCTAGCCCCATCGAACCCAATCTGAGTTTTGCCTTTCAGTGTAACAAGGGCAGGAATTCAGGTCTGGCATGTAGAAACGAGCGATAACGATAACAAGGGTTAAATGGCTTTTATCATGTAGTTTATTCATTGAGAACTGATTGATGTCCATGCAGAGCTCTGAAGGTGAAAATAAGCTTGCCCCTATATAGCAGACAAATGTAATTGTCACTTCTGTCCTAATTTATGAGAGAAGGATGAGGTTGCATCCGATTATGTACCAGGAGTAGCAATTCATTTGCCTCCCGATGGAACAGCAGTTCATGATGAAAGGTGGTTCACCACAGGCAACGCTTATGGTGACAGTTGTAATTACTGGTCAAATTAGTGTCCCTGCTGTCTTGAAGAGCACCGAGATACTCAGAAACGTCCTTCCCCTGTGAGATTCTGGGTTTTTCTCTTGATGATCCTGCAGCACGTTATGCACGGGGAACGATTTCTGGTATATGCCAGGGTAAAATATGTAAATAGCATCGTGTTGGCTCGGGATAAGAGCGTTATTAATGCTTTTCAGCACTGTAATTATATTCATAGTAAGCCTTCCCTAAGCCCTCACTAATTAACAATATTGTGACAAATCAACTTTAACAGAAAAGAACTGTGGACCTTTAGTCATTTAGTACTGTTTTTCATTCAGCCCACAGCCCAAAATTGGTAGCACGTTTTCTGTACTAGTGTTGGAAAAACTGCTGATATTTGAAAAGTTCAGAGCCAGCTCAGTCTTGTTAGTGGAATCCTGTAGATGAAGTCAGTTTGATTCCTCTTTAAATATATACACAGGAAAGTAAGATTCATTAGTTAATCATTATTGTAGGGGAATATTAAAACTGCTTTTATAAATAAACCATCATATTGAAATAGTTTAGTAATGTCAATATGTTGTCAAAGGCACATTTCTTTATTTATTTATTCCAAATCACGGGATATTTTACAATATACCTTAATTTTCAAATTAAATGGCTTTATAAATATTCTTATCAGGTGATGAATATTTGTAACATCTTTAATCCACATACACAGATGAACTTGCTATCTAAATGTCAGGATTTCTCTGCGCCTTTATTTTCTTCATTTAGAATAATTCCAGATGAAGGCTGTTAGGTTTGTTGGGTTTTTTTCTTTTTAATTTGTACCCCAGAAGATTTTCCTCCCGTGCAAGAATAAGCCATGTGGCAAATAAAATCACTGACCGGCTGTTTCTCTGATACTGCGCTTGCTATGATCGCAGCATTACACGTACTGACTCTTATGACTGTACCATTTCACATCAGCTCTGCAGAACTGGACTTTCTCTGTTTGTTCTTCTCATGCATTGGTAAATAAAATGTATTCACAAGTCCAAAAAACCAAAGTGGTGTTCTCGTATTAGGTTGATTATAAGTCAGCTGTTGAGCTTCAGTGGTCTAAACATTTCATTCTTCAGTTTTGTTGGGAGCACACGTGTTCTAGGAGGCTTTTAAACAAATACTTGAAATGGTTGAAAGATTTACATTGCCAGTGCCTGGCTAAATATGTAGTCTTTAGAAAAGACATGGTTTATTTTGGCACCATTTGAAAAACTCAAATATTTTAAACATTTGTTAAGTTCGAGCTTGCACATTTGAACTAAAAGTTTGCATTCCAAAATTGCATCTCCAGTTACCTGTCTCTCTCTCTTTTGTATTTTATAATCCCTTTATTAAAATAGCCTTTGCAAAAGGAGTTGGATTTGGGGGTTGTGTGGTTTGGTGTTTTGTTGGGGTTTTTTTGTTAATTGTAAAATATTCATTAACTTAATCAATTTTAAGGTAGCATTTACCTGGCAACTCTCTTCAGCTAAACAACAGAAATGCGTCTCCAGAAGTGTTTTCAGAATTCAGGGCTTCATGTTGGTGGCCAAGACTTGGTTGTAAAATTAATCAAATACAGGAATAGAGGCCAGATCCTGCAGTGATTTATTCTTAGCCATCCTATGTACTGTGATGAGTAAGTACTAACCCTGATGGTGAGTGCAGGGCCAGGCAATAAAGAAAGCAGGTTGAAAAGGTGTAGTGAGCTGATAAACTAGAATAGCTCAAGGAAAAGGAAAAGCTACCTTTCAACTGTGAAAGGAGTTGGTTTTATTTTCCCTCCTGTGGCAGAATGGGGGGAGGCAGGGGCAATGTTTCATCTAATTTTTTATTAAAAAATAAATAAATAAAATCACTTTTTATTTTCTCATAAGTTTTCACCTGAAACTTGTGCTGAAACTTAAAAAATTGAGAATGTATAGATTGAAACCACATATTTTGTTTAAAGCCTACAAGAACACCCATTCAACAAGTCCTGGAGCACACCGTTACAACCGTGCACGTGCTTTGGTGTGTTGCCCAGCCAGCTGCCAGCTGCAAAGGGTCACACTCCTTTCTGAGAAACCGTCATCAGGAGGAGTTTGGCATGTTTCCTCCATGGTTACCTTGGGCCAAAGGTCCAAACAGTGTCACATTCACAGAAGTTCATCATTATTTGAATGGCTTCTGAACACGATAGAAAAAGATCCATTGTCATATGATAAAACAGTGATATACCTGATAGAATTGGTCACAACGACTTCCCAGTGGCTGTGCTAAAGCAAGATTATGATAAATCTTGTAGAATGGAACCATTATGTGAATTTATGATGCTTAATACTCGTGAATGCGCACACTGTATTTCATATAAAATTGAAACACGTAATGGTTTCCCAAATAATTCAAAGGATGGAAATGACAGTGTATTTGTTCATGAGCCAAACTTATAAAAGCAAAAAAAGAAAATGAAAATATTAAGATGCAAAAATTACTCTAATTCATTGTTTGAAGACTCAGGACTTTGTTCATTAGTATTTGACTTCCACCGAGGTTGTGCTACTATTTCACAAGTTTTGTGATCAAAGAGGTAAACTGTTTTCAAAAATCTGTCTATGAGAAATAAGGTTATAGATATCATATATAGATACTAACCTATAGATATCAGTTTAGAAGCTGAAATTTTGCTTGGAAGCAAGATTTCAAATATCTGTAAGTAAGAATCAGCTTTTCAAAAAATTAATTAATTTCTTCACTTGGATATTTAGCTTATTCAGAGAACATACTCAACTCAGATGTGGCCTCTGTGAAAGCATGCTACACTAGAAATAAAATAACAAACAGTAGGAAGTCTCCATCAGCACATGCTCATAGCACTAATATAATCCTGTTCTGTGTTTTAACATGCTATATAAAAGTTTCTTCCACTTTATATAGGGAAAATTTTCTCTCTCACCCCTAACATTCTACCAATGCATGGAGAACATCAATATTACAGATGATGGTTACTAAATGTTACCAGTAGAGTTAAGCAAGAGAGGGAGAAGCACAAATAGATAAAGATTAGGTATGTGATCAGCTATGGCATTTGTCATATCAGTTGTTTTAAAATGGCAGTGGCAGAAAATTAAATGCTTCAAGCTATGGCTGCAGTATGGCAAACCCATTCTACTGCTCAACAATATTTTCACTGGTGGGGATGCTACCCTCATCCACAGTCCATTTCTAATTAACAGTTACCTATTTTGATCACTGTATAGTCAATATGAAAATCAGCAGTGTCCCCTCTACTTTTCATAGGTTGAGCAATGGAAATGGCAGTTGTCCTATCACTAAAACTTTCTCGGTATAAATATGACACAAAAAGTTGTGATATCAAAATAGTAAATACTGAATTATATTTAATAGGATCTGATCCCTTTTACAATTTTCATCAATAAATTTCAACACACATTTAAAAGGAAAATGAATAACAATAGTACTTTATCCCCAAACTGATAAAAGAAATACCCAATGGAGCATTTGACTGTATGTTGTCTCTGGAGCTGGTTACATCTTCCCAGGAGAATCAACAAAACTGAAGCTTATTGTTCTAACATCTTTTATTTTTTCATCTTGTCAGTAGCAGCTTTGCAGAAGGGAGAGGGTTTCCCTCGGAGACAAAGGAGAACCTGTGGAGTTTCAGGGCATCCAAAGATACAGGGGTGACACTGTGAAAGTGAGTAGATTTCTAGGGGATCTGTCGTAGGGAATGGGGCTCAGAAAGGTAAGTGTGGTCTTGGAGACCGACCGTTCCCCACAGGGGATATTACCCTGGGGGGCAGCTGCATTGTGTGCAGTAACTGAGGTTCAGCAGCAGCACGATGCAGGCTGACTCTATGACCCATGTTCCCCTTTCTTCTCCCCCCTTCCCTAGGGTACAGGATTCCTTACCTGGTGTACACAGGTGCACTGCCAAGGTAGAGGTGCTCCCCTGGACCTTCAGATCATATGACTGCTTAGACACAGACATCTGCTGTGCTGAGGTAAGTTCTTCCTTAGTTCAACAGCTTCCCATAAAAGCCAGTCCAATAAATATTGATCAAGCCAGCTGTGGCCAACAGGGGTGGTACTGCATGTGCTGGTGAGCCAAGTAGGGAAGGAGAGACCAAGACAGAAAGGGAGAAAGGAACGGTGGAGGGTGACCATGCTTTGCAGATCCTTGTGGGGTCTTGAGATATCACCTGTCTATGGGGTCTCAGCAGACAGGGAACGACTGGCCTCTGTGTCCACAGAGGATTGGAAGCAAGTTTTTAGTACCATTCCCACCCTGGAAAACAACTAACACCTGTCCATGCCTGAAGTCACCTCTGTTTTATTCAGGCAATCAAATCTAAGCCTAAGCCATTTACAAAATCCGGTTGTTTGAGTACATTCAGTGTTTCTGCCCATCCTTGCTAGAGTAGCACATCACAGGCACATGAACCAGGGCTGTGCCCAAATGATGGCTGCATCTCTGCACATCTAGATTACTAGGTCAGGCATTGTCAGAAGAAGAAGATCCTTGGAGCAAAAAGATGACGTGAAGCATCCCACGGCCAACTTCTGTGCATTTGGGCCTAGCTCCATGCTGGCCCTTGGGCTGCGCTGCCTGGTAGCGGGCCATGGAAACACATCTCAGTATCATTTCTGTGGTATCCTGAGTGCACTGAGACTGCCTGGGAATGTGAACCAAAGCACAGAAAGTGGAGCCAGCAGGGAGAGTGGTTTTTAAAGCACACCCCCCAGCACAAACCAAAACACAACAGGGGGTGCATCCTGGGTGAAATCTGCCTCAGGAATTTGCTCTTTGGAGGCATCTGTTTTGCACAGGGCAGGGCTCGCTCTGCTGGACTGTGATTCCCCACTCTGACCCAAAGACTCTGACCCCACTCTGTCCCACTGAACATGGGACTAACTGCACCCATTTACAGTACTTTTGGGACTAGAATTTGCTCTCCTCCTCAGACCCTGAAGTGAAGAAGCAAGGACAAAGATGTACAAACTCACCCTGGGTTGTGTTAAGCAAAGGTTTGACTAAGGGTTGTGCTGCTGATGTGTAGGAATATCTGTGGAGAGTGAGAGGGATTGCTCTTAACTGCACAACTACAGCATCAAACATCTACAACTGCTGCGGCGTGCGCTGGAGTGAAGGCCAGAAGGCTTCATAGTTTTGCTCTTCTTAGATCGCATAATGGAGAAACTCAGCTCAATTGCTTTTCAAGAAGCTAAATGCCCTGCTTCCTCCACATTTTGCTTGTCTGCTCATGATAACTTTATTTCCCCAGAGCTCTAACAGTCACTAGAGAGAGACTCTTATAAATCTGAACTGCCTGTGCCTAAAGAAAATACACTTTCATCAGTGTGTGTTTTTGTGAAATCCCACAGGACTGTTCTCAACAGTCCTATATAGCAAATCCACAACTGCCCCTTGTTGCTATCCACCCTGAATTTCAGTAATGGTGTTATCCTTGTAATTTTCCAGTCATTGAAATCTGGTCTGCAAATGACAAACATTACACGTTATGAGGTGTTTCATCCAGAACTTCACCCTTGCACAGCTTCATTTCCTGTAGAGCCGACCCTTTGTTATCAGGTGACCTGCTACCTACTGTCTCATTAAAAGTCATATTATTTTTTTTTCAGTGCCATTGATATTTTATCTTCCTAGGGCTCTCCTGAAACCACCTGCTGCAGGTGTCTATGTGCTGTGACTACAGCTTTCCACTAGTAGTAAAACGAACCGAGGTCTGGCAGGCTGAACCACATATTACCCTCCTGACCCAGGATGTGTAGGAGATATACCACCACCTGCCATAGGCATGTCCTGTTCCCTCCTTCCACCCCACCCCCTGGCTTGCAAAACCTGTAAATTGTCTTTAGTTCCTATTCAGTTACTATTTTACCTAAGCGATTCATATACAATATGTGTATCTAGCTAGATACCACGTCAATTTACAGTGATTAGAATACGTGCATAAAATATAGTTCAACCCAAAGCAAAATGTTTTCTTGGCTTGAAAAGCTATTGTGCATTATAAAGGTGAGAAACCCTGTAGAATGGTTCAATATATAAAACCAACATGGCAGGCTTCTCCTTCTTGATTTATTGTTGCTTTTCTGGTGCACTCACCCTACAAAAGCTGGATACCAACCAGAACTACATTAATTCCAGCACCCCTTGGTCTGTTGACCTCCCCTAAAGCAGGTCCCAGGCCTTCAGGTGGAACTACAGATGTGTGGGGAATTACAAATCCCTGGCTAAGGACTCCACAGAGAATTAACTGCTCTTATTGAACTTGTTTTCTACTCAACTTCAAACCAGGTCTTATTAAACTGCTTTTTCCGGAGAACTAAAAGAGCAATTTACTATCCCAA